TATTCTATACTGATATTTCGTCAAATTCACGAGCCACTTATGATACTATAGTCAAATTAGTGATACTAATAGCTGAAGCATTTGAGAAACCTTCTGTTGCCCTAATTTTTCATATACTTTAATAACAACTGATGTTTGTGGAGATGATTTTGAGGTTGGCCAAAGCGATATAACACCTAGTTTATTCACTGTGACACAACGTAGTCTACACCACTATTTACAATTTTAATTTTATCTTGTGCAAATTTTCAGTTAGGTATTACGGAATGTTTATGAAAGCATTCAGGATATTAATAGCTGTAAAAGTGTCAGTAGCGAAAAGATAAATTCTAAATGCAATAACAAAATTAATGCATGTTAAGACATGCAACAATTGTCATAAAAAGCCGTGGTTCATGAGTTCATAAATTTCCATAAGTCTTCTCAGCTGATTTTATATATTACTGATCAGTATTAGTAGTATGACACCACTTAAGTCAAACAGTGTTGTTTTCTAGCTACATCGAAGTGACCTAGTCACCATGAGACAGTTTCGCTTACTTGAAACTTATCTCACCATCGGTCTAAGAGGAATAGTTGAGCTTAGAAAGCCAAACGAATTCAAAGCGCCTGAATTCCGGTTGGCTGGCTGCTTGGGTGAACGAATTACACAATTCAAGAAACTGTGTAAGTTGGAAGTGATGAATTCAAAAAGTGGAACGCGTCTATGAAACAAAAAGATACTTGATAACTTAATACTACTGACATTTTGGTGAAAGTTTGTCAGAATTCTACCAAAAAAAATTTCAAAAGTTATAGGAACTAACCACTGGTATGACATTTAGATGCAAGCAAATTAAAATGACAGATGAATGGTTTATTTAAGTAGGTGCTGATTCTCAGTGTTTAGAAACCAAGCAGTTCCTAGAGGTAAATGTCAAACAGATTTGTGAAATATTACTTCCAAAATGTCTCGATTTTTTTTCTTTACAATGACTAGATCAACATTGGAATACCTGGGATTATCGGTGCGAGATAAGGGGGAGAATGCATGAATAAATATACCATTGATCAAACACAATAGTGATAGTTTTGTTAAATCTTATTACAGAAGATTTAAGTCGATCGTCAAACATTACTCCAGCTGCATCTCTAGAGTTTTTAAACAGTTCATAATACCTAATATTACAAGAACAAACAGGATCATTTAGTCGAAAGGATGCAATACAGCCTAACATTAACATGCATTTGGATACAAGAAAGCGAAGTGGTCATGCTATGTTATGAATGGGCAGAAGTCAAAATTCATGGGCCATTGGATCGGGTCCCAGTGACTTGATGGTCTACGAGCTCGCCTTGTAACCAGAAGGTCCTAGGTTCGAGCCCCTGTGTTGGGTGCGTAATGATGAAGATTCCCAAGCTAGGACGAAACAGCTGTCCAGTACTCCCAGGTTCTCTAAATGATGTCAGCTCATGATGAAATCCTTCAAGCAATCAAGCAAAATCTCTACAAAACCAACACTTGAAAATTGAGAGAAGTCTATCACCAGGCATATTTGGTTGAACTATACTTGATCACTGTTATCATTAATCCTATTGGAGTGTATCTGTAACCTCGATGTAGCTTTTGTTACTCAGCAACTTCGCTGCTAGTTACATTCTAAATAACTTCATTGTAAAACTGGTGACGTCGATTCTGAATGAGAGGTTCAAATATTACAAAGTAATTGAGAAGGGCTTCCTGCTAAACTGTAATATAGAATTATATAGTATCGTAGTTCCGCGTTGCCCCAAATAACGACGATACCATACGCCCTCGTGATTACATTAACTAATTCGTGTACACTAAGACACATTACTCGCTAATAGGTGGTAAAGTAATGAAACAAAATGAATATTTCTACTGAAGATTCAGCGGCCACTAGCCAGAAAAAGTCAAAACAACTATTCATGTAAATTAGACATGTAATGTGTTCAATCGCTTCTGTTTCCAAGCGACGCAATTATACAACAGCTGTTATTTTAAAGGTGAAAAAATCACTTCTGTTTTGATATCAGAGTGAGCGGGAAATTGTACATTTACTTGTAAGAGAACTATTCCACAATTCATTTATATTTTTTAGAGAAGATAACAGAATTCTCAAGAGCCTTAGAATACATCTCAGAGTGGTATTTACTCATAAATATTAATAATTATGTAAATTGGATGACATAAACTGCGTCAGTTTTCATTGTACCATTTCTAACTACGTAGATAATCTTAAGTGACAGAAGATATCAGTACCAAACTATACACAAAAAGTGTTAAAGTAATTTGAGTTGAAAACATGTTTTTGGTTGAGATCGACTACAACTCTAGCATAGGAGGCTCAAGCGAGAGATGAATGATCACTAAATAAATAGGTAACCATTCTATCGTGTTTTCGCTAAGTGCTAAGCTGACTATTCAGGTCACTTACAAAGATAACTAAGCGGTGCAATAGATATTCACTGGACGTATGCATTTCAAAACTCTACTTAGATCATGCGCGTCGGTAGAATGCTTGCCGACCATGCAGGTGGTTCGGTCCCAGGCCGACGCACTCCTTTACCTCGCTAAGCCAGTAATAAGACTGGTAAAGAGGGAAGGTTGGGCATGAGGCTAGCAACCCCATCCCGTAAAAATAAACACCACTGCTACTGAAACTTCAAGCCTCTAGCTTGAAGCCCTATGTTCCACTGGGAACGTGAAGGAATAAAATTACTTAGATCATTGTTTTGTGAAGAAACTATGGTTCAGAGATTTGGTACGTTACCAAGAGCATTTCTTAGGAGACTACAGACTTTTATTAACAGCAGCCTTCGTTTCATAATGACGACCAAATGGCCAGAAGAGATTAGGAATAAGAAACTCTGTCAGGTAAGGAATCGACCAAGCATCTATTGCTCAACAAATATGCCGAAGAAAATAGAGATATACCGGACACGCGCTAAAGTGATATCACGCTTTAGAACCTTGAATGAGAAAAGACAAGTTAGGCATTGTTCTGAGGGAGGCATGAAGGAGATCGTGTGAGGATGAGATGAGAACTTATGGACACTCGCAAAGCCAACTGAAGAAAACAAAATGAAATAGAGATGTTTGACAATGTTCTAGTCATCAAGTAGTAAATGAGAAGACTCACACGCTTATATTACAAAGTGTATTATAACAGAGCGAGGAATTTTTTTAAATTCCTTTACGTTTCCGGTGGAACATAGGGCTTCAAGCAAGAGACTTGAAGTTTCAGTAGCAGTGGTGTTTATTTTTATGGGATGGGGGTGCTAGCCTCACGCCCAACCTTCCCTCTTTACCAGTCTTATTGTAACAAAAATAATACTATTCAAAAAAGTATCATGGAAACCAGTTGTACAGCAACATATACTGAGTAATAGGCGAAATTTGACTGGTTGTTTGTCTGAATAACAGGGAGATGGTCAATAATAATGCAACTTGAATCCTTATTGATAAATTATTGTTCAGCTAGTCTGTAGCCGCGTATAACACTTCAAGTTTACGAAGACCGACGGTCAGTGGAGTGATCGCTTTAGGGGTTATGGAACCATGGCATTCTCTGACGTCACCAGTCATAGTCTCACTGAATCGAATCGCTTACTCTATGCACTGTCGTTTGTCTGGTTTAACGTTCGAACGTAGATGAAATGTATTCAGTAGTTTGTCAAAAAGAAAGGTCGGTGTTTTTGATTGTGGTGTGTGAGTGATAGGTTTAGATAATATCATTGCCAAATTTTATATCACACATAAATTATAATTGTTGCACCCAAACGAAATCTTCATTGCAGGGTTCATGGAGTGGTCGATTATCAGCGATATAGATGACAATGCCAATCACAATTCTTGTATTAGTTCCGGGTGGTGATTTTGAAAGCTCGGGTTTTCTTGATAATATGGCATTATGAATAATCCTTAGTTTACATCCGTTAAGTATTTCAATCACTGATTGTTTGTCTGCTGTTGACTCATTGGGAGTTGTATCATACACACAAACGAAAACACCTGAATGACGTCAACTAGTGTTCTATGTCCAACTGCTCTGAGTAGGCTTATCTTCAAAATGTTGATAAATTATTCAGTTTGACCATTTGATTCTGGATGTCATTTAAAGTTGACTTTGGATCTAGTTCTAGCACATAACGGTTAGATTAAGATGACAGAATAATAAGATTCTATTTAGCATTTTCAGTCCGAGAAACAAGTATTAGAATCTACCAAACTGAAACATTTAGCATTTCTACCAAAATGTATTAGACACTAAGACTCAGTAGAGTCTACACTGGGCATTAAAAATATCACTACATTCAGTTCTCATTAAATGATACGAAAACTTACTGAAATCAAAAGAGCTATAATGCACTGTGCGTTTTTGTTGTTGTTGAAAATAGATTATAATGCAAACAACAGTGTGTTTAGTTGTTATAGCCGGAAAGGGTTAGCAGCAAGGAATTCTATCAGGTAACGAATCAACCAAGAATCTCTTGTCCAGCAGATCTACCGAAGAAAATAGAGACAGACCGGGGACACATTGAGGAGACCGTTGGGTAACATCGTGTGCCAGATCTTAGAATGGAACCCAAATGGAGGAAACGATGAGTTGGGTGACATGGAGGAGGTAATGAAGGCTTATGTGAAATCGCGAAGTCAGCTAAAAAGGACGACTACAGAGAAAAAAATAAAGTGGAGATGTGCTTGTGGAAGCCTTATGTTCCACTCAGAAACCAGGCGAATAATAATAATTATTATTGTGCTTTTTTAATTCCCTTTATAATTTGTATATCTAGCTCAAAGTGTAAATGGGAATCAACACATAATATATGTTCGACTACTGGTGTAGACGCATTTACATTTTACACTTCAATCTATGCTAGAGATACACTGAGCGATTTTTTACTCTGTTAAGCTATTGAAAAGACTTTTAAATGTCTTCTTAACTGATTTATTTCTCAGTGAATTAGAAAATTACTTCTGCACTTTTTACCGTCGATGAAGTGTGCAGCTATGTTAAAAAGTCAAGGGAAAAGAAATTCCCGTTTCATCATCATCATCATCTCTCGCCACAAAGATAATCAAAGTAGAGTAAGTAATACACATATACACTTATTAGTAATAATAACAACAGATAATTATATATTTACAATTTACAGAATGCCACCTACGAGCATAAGACTGCACAACACCACATATACATATAAAGAAATAAACGCAATCATGTTGAAGAGAGTAAAAAAAACACACACAAAATAATGAATTTGTACAGAAATACATAAATTATGTGACTGTTCATAAGACTTAAGGCCATAAATTGGCTTCCTTCATCTTATTGATAAAAAAACGCTCTAAAGTATTTGCAGTCTTATATAGATATGAGTCTTGTTGATTATAAGTACGACAATTATGAAACATTCGCATCATATCAGCGATAAACAAAGATTTGGTAACATAATAGTTTGATTTTAGGCGATCCCACATTGTACCTAAATCTGTAAAGTAATAAAAATAAAAAACTTTATGAAGGGATATACATTTAACGGTTGACAGATAAAAACATAGTGTCGAATAATGTTGTGTCATGGGAAAAACACAGATGTAAACTTGGAACCATGTGATCTGAAGTACAGACCCTAGCTTTAGATCTTTTCAAGGATAAAAAAATTGAGAAGACTTCTATGTGAAACATTGTAATCCACAGGAGTAACGATTTTTTCGAAGTTTCATCACATATAAATAATACTTTGAAAGTGTGCGTCGATGGTTAAGGCGCAGAATACTCTCCAGATACGTACGTGCTCCCGGTATGAGCTCCAGATCACACACTCCTAAGCCTCACCTGGCCGGTAGTAAGCGAGGAAAAGAGGGAAGGCTGGGTGTGAGGCTGGCTAGAAACCCCTGCCCGTAAGAGTAACATAAACACTACTGGAACTCCAAACCTTGAAGCTCTATGTTCTACTCGGAACGAAAAGGAAAAAGAGAGAGAATACTTTGAAGGCAACAATCACTAGACATCTACAGATTATTGCACTTTTACTCAAATTAAATTATATTATGATTTCTTTAAAAACTGGAAGTAAATGCAATATAAATCTAATTTTATCCAACAACCACTTTATCATTTCGATGTGGTTGACAATAAACCACACCTATTGTTTGACAGCCGAAGACACTGAGTAGCTGCGCCAACCCCGAGGGAGGGCGGTGGGGTGGTCCGAGTGCTTAAATCAATGATTCACAGCTCCACAAAATCAAAAGTATTCAGATTACATTATTGAGTCCACCTGATACCAAGATGAAGACTATGTGAATTTATACTATATATATATATATATATATATATATATGTTAGACAACGCTGCCTATTATCACGAAAGATATTCCTATTTGTGATGGACTGGATTATGCGGAAGATTATGGATACCGAGAAGACAGGAATACACTGTATCCATAAGAAGAATCTAGTAGATCTGGATTTCGCAGGTGATTTATTATAAGTGTCATATAAACTCGAGGACATAGAGGCGAAAACCAATAAACTGGCTGAAGAGGCTGGCAGCGAAGACAGGACTCCAAGTGAACACAGAGAAGACGGAGGTGATGAAGAAACCAACAAACCAACAGCGATAGCAAACAGCACCAATCATTATCAACGGGAGAGATTTGACGGAGATCACGTTCTTCAATTATCTGGTCAGGAAGCACGGTTTCAACCACCAGTAGTCGGATAGCACAGATGAAGATGTCAAAGCCAACCAGCCAGATTCGGAAAGGCAAGAAACGCCTTCATAATGAACAAGATTCGGATTTTCAACACAAATGTGAAGTCAGTCATTCAGTTCTTCTACACGGACGGGTCAGAGACTTGCACTGCGCGTGAGTCACGAAAAGGATTTCCAACAAGTTATAGACTTTCATCAACAGCTTCCCGCTTCGCTGGCTCCATACTCAAGATCAAATGACTGGCCAGCAGGAAAGAATTGGTAACAAGAAACTCTGACTGGGAACAAACCAACCAAGAGATGGATTAGGCAGACATTGAGGATACCGTCGAATGACATCGAGTGCTAGGCCCTCGAGTGGAACACGTATGGGGAACGACGAGTGGGTCATCCCACGGTGACATGTGGGAGGTGAGAGGTTATGAGCAATCGTGGGCCCAGTTGAAGAGAACAGGAGTAAATATAACAAAGTGCAGATGTGTTGTTGAAGTCCTACGTTCCACTCGGAACCCAACGGAACAATAATAATAAGTATATTTCTTCACTGGACACATTCAGTCATTCAACCATGTATCTAAAGGATACAGCAGTTTGGTGATATTATAACAGGATGAATACGCATAAGTCAGAAAATAAGACCTTATATCTATAAGGGCTATTATTATTATTATTATTATTCCATTTAAACAATTTATATTTAATGATATCTTTGTGAATGAATAGACAATAATTATTTTCTCCATGTTGTAATATAATAAAGGATTTTCAAAAGGTATACAACGTTATATTTATCTGTTTTTATACAAATAAAAAGGACAAGAAAATTGTATGTATAAGTAGGATACTTTTAAGTGAAATGATAAAAAAACACTAAGAATAAGAAAGAATGAGTGAATGAATGAAGGGAAGACAAAACTTAAGAAACGTATCAAGTTTTCTGTCAAACCTGCCATAGCGAATACAAGAATTAGGTTTTCTGAAGAGCTGTATTGATAAGGAAGACAAAACCTTCAATAATTCTACTTTTGTTCCATGCTAGACTCACAATACTTCCCAGACAACAAAGAAACAGCTGTCTAATGCTCCTCTGGTATCCAGTGGTAGTAATAATAATAATAATAATAATAAGTAATCCATGCTGTTAATATTAATCTCCAGCTTATGATTAAGGGTTATTAGATGGATGATTTCCTGAAGTTCTAACGAGAATCCTGTCAGGGTGAAACAGATGCTCATCGATGACAGGTAAAATATTCAAGGCGTAACTGAATTCTAACCCAGTGATCAAGAGCCTGGCCTCGTATTCTCAACGCTCTGGTTTTGGTCCCTGCTGCGAACTGCAGTTGAATACTATCGAAAATTTCTTCTCCGAACGAAACGTTTGAATTATTCCTTTCAATTTCACCGAGATTTAATACAAATACAATCTCTACATTTGTCTACTTTTTATTCGGTACCCAATTATTGTGGAACTATCGAGTCAAATATTGACCACAGTCAGTAGAGAATAGTAATATTTTTACTAGAATCTCTGCATGAATAATTTACATTGTCTAACCTCCTAACTGACTTAAAATTTCAAAATGAAATACTTTTACTTATCATTAACTAGATGATAATAGTGTTTAACTGAAGTTATTTCAGTTCAGCTGTCTACCATACATTTTATACATATTTAATATTATTCTGTAGGGAAAGAAACACTTGATTCAGTGAAGACTGACTGGTCTCAGTATAGCACTTTGCACAGAAGTGTAGCAGTTCGAGCTGCCACACTCAATGTAGCACACAAAGCACGGGTAGAGAGTAAAGGGAGATTCAAAAGCGAGATAATAAACAGAAATGTGAGGCAAAAAGAATAGAAATACGGAAGAACAATAAAATGTTATTGGATATGATAAATCACAAAGAGTGAATGCATCCGCGCTATTGAGAACGATTTTGAGCCATATCACCAATTGTCTCTAGCCGTCATTGGTTTTACCATCCCAAGGACCCTAACCAGACGGTAGTCTACACCTCCTTACGTAGGTGGCTTAAACTAACTGTTGTGGATTTCATTGACTGATACCATGTTTTGGTTTGACCACCACTAGCTCTTTTCCGACCTGATCATATATCAACTAACACTGCTCGTCGAGGAAGGCGATGACTAGGCATGCTTAACACATGTTCTAACCATCTCAACCGATGCAACTTCACAACTTCGTCGATTGGCTTCCCCTCCTTACCAAGCACTCGAAGCCTAAGTTCAATATTACTCACCCTATTATACCAAGCAACATGGGAGATAGAAGGCAGAAAACTATGATCAAAGACAGCTAGCCTTTTCATCATGTCTTCCACTTTCAATGGCCATGTCTCACAGCCGAAAAGGCGGACAGAGCGAACTGCTGAGTATTACACACGCCCTTTGGTCGACAGTGCGTCGGTGGCATAGCGGTTAGGACGCTCGCCGGCCATGCACATGGTCCGGGGTTCGATCCCCGGCCGACTCAGTCCTTTACTTCGCTAAGCCAGAAATAATGCTGGTGAAGAGGAAAGGTTGAGCATGAGGCTAGCAACCCCATCCTGTAAATAAAACTTTGGTCGACAGTTGGATATCACATCTACTAAGCCAGAGATGGCGTAAGTCGGCAAACGTCAAACGAGCCTTCTGTATCCGTTCTGAGATTTCGTTAGCGATTAACCCGCTGGCGTTGGCTGATGCAACTTCCCAAATAAGTGAAGTGGTCAACGTGCTCTACCACTTCACTCCCTATTTGTAAGCTAGGAGTCAATGTAGTCCAGTCCTATCATCTTACATTTGACGGGAGAAGAGACTCTTTTTGGTGATTTTAATACATACAGTTGTACAATTGTATTTTTTCATGGATTTCTGTAACAGATTCACATTTAGAATACACAGTAACAAACAGAATAAATTCAGAGTTTCTACCGGTGAATATTTATCAAAATGAGATGTAGGTTTAAGAAAAATGAACATTTGTAGATAATAAGTTATGAAACAAGAAAAACAAGTGAATTACTAACAAAATAAGTATGTAAACAGGAAGCAAGTAATATTACACAATGATCAAGTCAGTTGAAAGAAGTAGAAGTATTTTCTTTAACATTCAAGGATTACGACCTTAAAATTGAACAGACTTCGTATGTATACGAAACTTCGGTTTCTCTATCTCCATGGCTAAAGCTTTAGAAATACGGATGAGGAAAACACCCGCATATTTCGGAAGGTCACCTTTCGCTTCGCAGATAACTTTAAAAGAAAGGTGTGGTTAAGACAGAACGGCCAGTAACACAACACGATGTCCAACTTTTGCAATCTTCAAACATCCCCTTCTACGACTTTGTAACCATACAGGGCGGTATCGCTACACCTTAGAAATAACACGTGTAAGAAGAACGGTATATTGAGCCCTAAAGGAGCAGGTAAAGTGGTATACACACGTTGAATTGGTCAGGTGCCAAATATTAGCCTTCAAGTTGTTAGAAAATAATGGTCGCTTGAAAAACACTATTTTCAATTATACTACTGTGGTTATTCTTCATGAAAAGCAGTGTTATTCAGTTTCTATGAATAACTTTCTTAGAAAGTTTATCTCTTTTTTGATCGTATCAAGCTTATGCATACGTCAAGTGGCGAAACTGAATGTTCTCATCCGTTTTCCCTTGTGAACAATGGTTATCCAGTTACAGGAATTTGTCATTGAACCACTTCATAACAACGTCCAATGAAACAATTTCCAGAAACTTCCATCACTCCTCCTTGGTGGCATGCTAAACTCGTTCTCTACTTCAAGATTAAATTTTACTCCCTTCTATTCATGAAAGTAGTATGATTCAATTTCCAGACGATGCACTCCTAAACCTCGCTTGGCCAGTAGTTAGCCTGATATAGGGGGGGGGGAAGGTTAGGCGTGAGGCCAACACTATCATTACTAGGGAAACTTCAAGACTCAAGTTCGAAGCCCTATGCTGCACTGGGAACGCAAAGTAATGAGTAATGTGAGAGTAATGTGCGTCGGTAGCACAGTGGTTAGGACTCCCGCCGACCATGCACATGGTCCGGGGTTCGATTACCTGCCGACGCACACCCGATATCTATGGTCGGCCTGTAAAATTTGGGCTACCGATATCCATGCTGAAAATTCCATACTTCTACCAAAAGTACTGTGTGGAATCAAGCTGTAAACGAAAAAAATATATATATTATCCATCGTAAATCCTTTCTAAAGAATGATCAGTGGCATCTCGAGGACACTAACCAGCCAAGTGGGCAACACCTCAATACACTGTCCATGTTGATAATCAGTGGCTTCAGAGACTGTCATGTTTGCATATAGACATGCTACACCGGACACTGTCTTACAACTACAGATAACAAAGGATACATTGATACTCCCCAAAAAAAAATAATAATAATTCGTTTTAAGTTCTGAGCACGAAATAAGCACAAGTCACTTATTGCGCAAAAATAGTCACACAGACTAAAAATGATACCACTAAGAAAATGACAATTGAAAGAAATCAATTGAAATGCATACTTACCTATTGGAAAAACAATAATTTTATGATAATCTGGAGCTTCATCTTCTGTGACAGGTCTTTGGAAAGGACCAGCTAACACATGATTGCGGACTGCGCTTAAAACAGGACGTATCTTTTCTGCTAACTGTTTTGTTTTCTGAATCCAAACAGGTTCTAGTGGATCTGGCCTGTGTTTTTGATGCATTTATTCGTATGACAAAAAATGTCAAAAAGTGATAACAATAATAATGATAAGTGATATTAAAATTTTAGAAAATATGAAATACACTGACAGCTGGAAAATCAATAACTATTCTACCTTCAGCATTGAAGTGAATTTTAAATAGAGGAATAAACTAATTCATCTTCGAAACTATAAGCATATAGATATACTAGACAATGAAGAAAAGCTATTGTGGGTAGGTAAGTGATACCTACTACCTGAATGTTTAGGCCCCAGTTGACGGGGATTTATTCAAAAAATAGTACAAAATCGTAGATATAAATGATCGATTCTATCAACAAGATAAACCGTTAGTTCATACCGCTGATTGACTGATTGATATGAATAATTGGAAACCATTCACATCAAACAATAGTGCTCGTTACTCAGATCGAGGTGATTTGAACACCAGACGACCATTCCTCTCGTTTAGCGCCAAGCTCATCAACGGTGAGTCGGTAGTTCAGAGGCAGAATACTCACCGACCACACTCGTGGCGTACGATTCCCGGATTACACACTCTTAAATTCTGCTTAGCTGGTAGTAAACCCGGTAGAAAGGGAAGGTTGGACGTGAGGCTAGGAACCTCACCCAATAAAAAAACACCACTGTTACTGCGATTTTAAAGTTCAGGCTTGAATCTTTATGTTCTACTCGGAACGAATGGGAATATAATAATAATAGAAACGATAATAATCAGTGGTGTATCCTGTTCAACTCAGCTCAGAGAGCCAAATCAGTCAAAACAGCGCGAAGGGGACTGTGGTGATTAATCTGTTGAACTGTGTAATTTGCATATGACGAGTTTGATTTTAGGATGAAATACTCTAATAAGCAGGGCACTAATGTCTAAAGAATTAATGAGGACAACATTGTAAATGAAAAACAACCGTAAGATTAAGTAGGAAGCTTATTTTTTTAGAATAATAATTATTATATTATTGTTCTCTTGGGTTCCTAATGGAACAAAGGGCTTCAACTACACGTCTCCACTTCCTTCTGTCTTCTGCTGTACTTTTCACTTGCATCCATGTTAATCCATACTGTTTCAATTCCTCTTCACACGATCTCCACCATGTCACCCTTGGACGTCCCACTCGCCGCTTCCCTTTCGGGTTCCACTCGAGCACTGGCCTGACGTGCGATGTCACCCGGCGGCCTCCTCAGCGAGTGTCCACTTTCTCCTGCATATTTGTTGAGCGATTGGTTCTTGTTTTGTTTGTTCCCATAGTTTCTTGTTGGTGATTCTTTCCGGCCATCTGATCTTGAGTATAGAGCGAAGACAGTTGTTGATAAAGGTCTGCAACCTGTTGGAAATATTCTTTGTGACCCGCCAAGAATAATAAATTCTTTTAATTGGGGAAAAAGTGTATTCTCTGCATGCAGATACTATAACAGCAGGAACTTAGTTAGCATTATCTGTAATATATTTTTACTATGTCGAACTATTTGGATAAAGTAGAAATTGTGAAGATCTGTCTAATCCGACAGTTGACTTTCAATAATAGTGTGTATGCCTATATCCTGTCTAGGTTATTTCCACTAGTTGTAGAGATTTGCTGAAAATCCTACGAAAAACATGCTTGCCATGTAAATATCATTCCAGATTTTATCTCAATGTCCTATCGACTGGATTGTTCGTACACTTTTATGCAATAATATTCAATGAAAATGTGAGGTGAAAGAATATGCTGATGCTGAATACATTGGATTATTTGTATATGAACTCGTAATGTGACTGTTTTCTCAACAAAAGGTAACTGACAGTGCTTCAATGAAAGCTACTACACACATTTATGTATACTTCAGTATGGGTCACTAGTGGTTACATTTACATTTGATAACATATTTCCAATGCTTGTTGCCAATCATAGGAAAATTGTTAAACCAATGGAATAATTTTACCTGAAATAGTCAAATTTTTCACAGATTGTTAATGAGATGAGAGGGGCACATACCCTAATTAGGTGGTGTTGGAATCGTAGCCAAGAGGAGGCAGATAAATGCATAAAACTATACAGTACTGATTGACTAAGGTGAGTAGCTGTATACTATTCACATCAACTAGTAGTGCTTGCTAGCCAGATCGAAACGCCGGACAGACGTTTTCATCGTTTGGGGCGAAGCTCATCAGCGGTGTACCCCGTATGATTCAGCTCAGAGAGCCCAATCAGTTCACACTACCTGATTTCTGGCTAGCTACTTGGGCGAACTGGTAAAACCTTATATCATATTCGCAATTTGCAATGTACACGCTGTCTGGTGTTAAGGTCACTTCGATTTGGCTAGTAAGCACTACTGGTTGGTGTGAGTAGTATACAACTACTCATCCCAGTCAATCAGCAGCATTTATGCTTCATTTCTTGATTACTATTTATGGTATCAAGTAGGTCACATAGTGAAACGCATAATTTCGATTTCTAAAGGAAACTGTGGTGAAATTTCGCTTCCTCAAACTGTATAAATTGCAAATATTTTGTGAATTTGATTTCAGGAGGTAGGTAATTTCACTCCTAACACGATTAAGATTTTCGCTTCAATAAAGGTACATGTTCACCGATGCGATAACAGTGAATCATTTAGGAAATTGATATCTAATTCAAGTCTTGTTCTCTCAAATAACTAGTGTGAATGACTACTTGAACCGAACAATAATAAATCGATGGCTAAACTACCTCTTAAACAGATGCAACACTTGTCTTTAGTTCACCAACTACTAACACAATTAAGATGAGTTACGTGATTTCTCATGAGCTGACATCGGTTAGAGAACCATTGGAGAACCTGGGAGTACTGGACAGCCGTTTCGTCCTAGTTTAGGACTCCTCATTAGTATGCACCCACCGGGGCTCAATTAATCATATCTCTACAAACCAATACTTGAAAATCAATGAGATGTTCACTAGCGACTGGCCCTGTTCAGGTAGGTAGTTACCTGGAGTTCTAGTGAGAAGTCGTTACCAGTAGGGTGAAGCAGGTCGGGTGTGAGGACGAATACTCGCCGGAGACGTTGGCTAGCGGTCGCGCTATATAGTGCATGAATTGGCAGAAGTTAGAATTCATGGACTGTTCATTACATCGGGTCCCAATGGCTTAATGGTCTGCAAACTCGCCTTGTAACCAGAAGGTCCTGGGTTCGAACCCCGGTAGATGTGTACTGTTGAAGAGTCCCAAACTAGGACGCAACAGCTGTCCAGTTATCCGAGGTTTTCCAATGGTTTTCTAACCGATGTCAGCTCATGATGAAATTCTGTTACCAACCAATCAAATCCCTACAAACCAATACTTGAAAATAAGATGAGTTAATTAGCCTACACCGATAACTGATTTTGACTTAATTCAAATCATGACACGATTCACATTTTCATTCCACCTTTAACCAATGTCCATTACATCAACCAGTGTTATCTCAGATAGTCTAGCGAATATGACAAAAGCGAATGATCAAGTCAATCTTATAATAAAAATAATGTAGAACTAGTGAGATAGGATTTTTCACCACCTTTAATACCTAAGCGGTGAAAGAGATATCAAATAGGGTTGGCATTTAGCATTGAAAGATTTCAGATGGTTGATAAAAGGACGTGGTTACGTACAACATAATGGTGATGCATATCATACAGTTTACAGCATCTACGATGAGATAAGATCTGCTGAGAAAGTAGGTGTGTCCGTGACGACAATTTTAACATCTAGGTTAAGGAGTCATCATTAGTTTTCAGATGAAGAGAACTGGGAACGCTCAGTCACTTAACTTAATAGTCACAATATGCATTAGATTTGATGACCAGTACAATAATTTTAACTGTCAGTATACTCCATATTATATCATAAAACAGCACATTTTTGCTATGTGGAAGATATTGAAAAAACAGATGGAAAGACATTTTAATTTAATTTCTGTACGTGTCGTTGTCGCATTGTCTTCTTACATTATTTTATTGTCATTATTCCCCTGGGTTCCGAGTAGAATATAAGGCTTCAACAACACATAGCTATTTCGTTCTACTTTCTGTTGTCCTCTTCAGCTGGGTCCGCGGTTGACCACAATCTCTCATCTCCTCTTTGCACGATCTCCTCCATGTCACTTTAGCACCAACGACCCACTCTTCGCTTCTTATTTGGATTCCACTCAAGAAATGGCCTGGAGCGCGATGTCATTAGACAGCCTCCTCAAGGAATGTCCCATTTATCTCCGTCTCCCCTACACATTTGTTGAGCGATCGGCTCTTGGTTAGTTTGTCGCCAGTCAGAGTTTCTTGTTGGTTATCTTCATCACCTCTGTCTTCTCTATGTTCACCTGGAGTGCTGTTTTTGCTGTCTGCCTCTTCTGGCAGTTTGTTGCTTTTCGCCTGCAAGTCTTCGAGTTTATGTGACATTAGACATACATCATCTGCGAAATCCAGATCTTCTAGGGTCTCCTTATCGGTGGTCCAGCGTATTCGTGTCTCCTTTCTCCCCATTGTCTTCTGAGACGGTTTATTATGAGGTAATGACATTCATGAAAGGAAAGACGTATATATTACTGATGAAGGAATGATGTGGAACACTCTTAATGTATGGAGTTAACAAAAAAAAGATTATTTTGCGAAGAGACAGTTAACTAAAATGTCTGTTTAATACCAACATACATTACAATGGACAATGCGAAGTGTGAGGGAATGTATCAACATACTGATCGGATGAACAATATTTTAGTTTTATGAACTAAAGAGTGCGTCGGTGGCATAGCAGTTAGGACGCTCGCCGACCATGCACACGATCCGGGGTTCGATCCCCGGCCGACGCACTCCTTTAACTCACTAAGCCAGAAATAATGCTGGTGAAGAGGAAAAGTTGGGCATGAGGCTAGCAACCCCATCCTTTAGAAATAAACCCTGCTACAGAAACTTCAAGCCTCTTGCTTGAAGCCCTATGTTCCACTGGGGAACGAGAAGGAAGAAAAAAAATGAACTAAAGCAGTACATAAAAAGCTATGATGACATGTATTCACATGGGCCAGTAGTTCCTGATGGCCACATCAACGTGATCTAAACATAGGAGGAACATTTCACCCTTTTGGGGACAATTTGGGGACAACGGTGCACTTAGTTTGAAGAGCCAAATCAGCTGTTAGTTTAATTAAAAACTAGTAATATAACAATATAACAAAATAGACTTACATTTTCGACAAACTATTTTGACGTCGTAATCTTGAATTTAATTTTGGACTCATCTGTAACTTTGATGTTGTTTTAAGAGGAGATTGTAATGAACGTTTGCGTAGCTTCCTTGGAAAACTTTGGATTTCTTCAATGCTTTGATCAGTCGATGATTCACGTTTTAATGGATTAATATTATTGTTTGTCACATTTTCTGATGATTCTACATTATCGATTTTATCAAATAAATCGGGGAACTGATTTGTAGTAAATCCTAATTCAGCTAGACCAGGAATTTGTTCTGGTTTCAATGGTCCATTACGAAATAACTTAGCAGGTATTCCTGGATAAGCTTGATTTACCGACTCACGACGTCGTTCTATCAATCGATTAATAACCTAGTGGAAATAAGAGATAGGTTAAAAATGCATATAATGTTTCAATGGATAAATTGTGAATTAACGGGTCAGTATTGATACAATAGTGTTGATCTACGTCTTCACATGGACTGAGTTATAAATATGTATGACTGATAAGTCTACAGATTGCAGCTAATAATAAAAGTGACCAACCAATTAAGTGCACATTATGTTGAACAGGAGTAGACAACTAATCCTTCTGTGTAACCAAAACAGTAAAGAAAAAAAAACACTCAATCACACGACATTCTTTTACACTATATCAGTAGTGTAACGCAATAAAACAGCGATAAGTTACTAGGCTACACAAGATGTTAAAGGAGAACGAACGAAACGTTCTATATTCAAGATTATTTAAATCTAATACTTGGTAACCAATGTAGATTACTAAAGAATATGACAATCACACACGTCAACTCTGATGATAAAACTCTAATTGTAAGGTATAATAAACCCAGTGTTTTCGCGTAAATTTCCAGTATTAATCTCAACCAGATTAACTTATGATAAAATATTGTGTAAAAATTATTCAATGAACGAAGTAAAGAATTCAGAGGACATTATATTTCATCCTACTGGTTGGATGATCAACGAGCTTGTCTCATATAACCTGAAAGTCGTGGCTTTGTAATCCTTGGGGAGAGACGGTAACGGCTGCAAACTGCTCTAAGAAAATATTCCGTCTTACCTTCTACGTCAAGAAGTTAAGACATTCTGGTATAACCTGACCCTTACTCCTACAATTCGTTAATTCTCGCATTCTGCCTATTATACTCTATTGTTCCCCCTTAGTTTTTCCCGGGCTACTGAAGAAAGACTATAACTTATTACGCAGGATGTTAAGGTTGTCAGCAGGGTAAGCAGCGTGCCACTTAACCAGCTTGTTAATATTCTGGTTGACAGGCACATGGACTCATGTGAAAAATGGGCTAAATCCATTTTATCTAACTCACACCACCCTCTTCATTCACAACTCTCCCCTTGTATCTCATCAGGTAGGACCAGAAGCCTATATAGAAAATTATATGCTCGCACTCGCAAGTACAAAAACTCAACCATACCCTACTTAGCTCGTGTTCTGTGCGATAAAGAAAGCATTAGGCGTGATACCTATAACTTATTAAATAGTCAGTAGAACAACTGGATCTCGTCTTTCCAACTCATATCATTTATAGGTACAACATTTTCTTTCTTTTCCTTTTCTCTCTCTCTTTTTCTGTTATGTGCTGCTTTGTTTCTTTCTTCCGCTTACGCCAGTAAATATGATAGCACCTACTTTTCTAACACCTTCAAACACTGTTCAACTTTGGCTTTGCTATCGATATGCCAATATGTTGTTGTCATAATGAACTGAGATTTCCTTAATCTATGTAGAATTTTATGTGCTGTATTTATTTATGTATTATGTATTTTGATAATGTACTAACTGGATGCAATACTGTAGTAAAATGCTGAGAATTCCATTCTGTATCACAAGTATTGTTTTGGAATAAAGCATATTATTATTATTATTATTAATAAAAGTCACAGACTAGGATAACACAGCTGTCCCTCGTTTTCAATGGTTCTCTAACTGGTGTTAATTTTAACTTGAAGAGTAAAGAAGTCAATACAAACACAAGTCATAAACAAAAACATACCTCCTTTTGTTTCGCTATCAATTCAGAAAATCGTGTATATATAATATTTGGGTATAATTCACAGCCCATTAATGTAGCCCCTTCATATTCTTTAATAAATCCTACATAAGCTTGTCGAGAGAGGCGTATTTCTCGTGAAAATCCTTGTTTTCTAAAATATCCAGTAGCGAATGAATCAGCGTATGTAAGGAAATGAAATATTTTATGCTGAATATGATAATCTTTCAAATGATTCATCATTTGTGTACCATAGCCCTAAAATATTGTTACAGAAAAGGAAGAAAAAAGAAGTGAAACATGAAAGATTGTATTACATAATTGTTTTTACCGTGTAAATTTTAAAAACGTAAGAATATTGTGTATTAAAGAGAATGTTTCCCGATTAACGAATAATAAATACAAATTTATATAGGCTCGTGTAAGTCAAACTCAGGATGGTAATGTTGGGCTTTCGAAAAATAAGTGATAGGATATGACTTGTACTACTAAACTATTAGTGTCTGGACAATGATGATGGTGATAATAGTAGCTTTATTCTGAACAATGTTTATATAATGTACAGAATTTTCAGCAGAGTTTACTGAATGATATTTCCTCTTTGTCCAGGATGTTTAAATAAAAGATTGGTTGACAGTAGAGCGTGTAACACAGTCCTGTCTGAACTGAAGCGGAAACCAATCCACCATCATGATATCTCTTCTTTCTCTCCTTTGAGGAATACACTATATTTTGCTGAATGACAATAATAAAAGGTTCAACAATACATTTTGTGAACCAAGGACACCTCTCAAGAACGGTCATCTCGTGTACGCGGATAAGCTGTCATTGATGACAATACTTTTTCTCATGTTTAGTAGAAATTTGTGACACCGCAGGTTGTGAACACTTTAAATATTCGCTAGATTAAATAATACTATTAGAGGCCATATTTTACTAGATTTAAACAAACTGAATAAGAGAAATTATACGCAATATATATTGATAGAGGCCATCGGTAGCGGAAGTTTTAAGTAGGCCTCCAATTATCGTCACAATACTAATATAGCAATAACATATAGTATAATGTCATTACATAATTTCGTAAGAAGATGCATTTGTGCATTATTCAACATTTCTATTACGACAGGTTAAAGTACGGAAAAGTTAAAAATTATACATGATGTTTCAGTAATAGTTTAGATTTTTAACACAAGCGGAAACTGCGAGAACAGTTCCCATCGCCTGGACGCTATAGTCAATATCTAAGATGAATGGACCAGCTGGAAATGCCCACACTGCAGTGGGAAGTTAGACACGTCGTAAGCTTATCAAACCCTCTCATGTCATTAAATAGCCTAGGTATATTTGCACCTTTTCACGGTTAGTTATGAGATGAAGTGGAGTGATTGAACTGGTAAAATTCCTGATGATGCGAAGCTCGTAAGAAGCGAATCCCATGAGACTACGAACTTCTCCTATCAATTTTGGAGGAAGCTAGCACACGATGGCATAGACCTTACTCCAGTCAGTACTAATTCCTTCATGCCGTAGGAATATGATAGATTTCTGTAAAAAATTACATTTGGAATATTTCAATTTGAGGATTTTACCACACATACATTGAAGAATAATGAAATTAGAAACTTCATTATTCATACATTCTTTCTTCCGTTTTTCTGAGACATTTGTTTGGCAATGACTAAAACAATCATACTGAGGACTTTTGAATCCCGCGCGCAAGCATGCCAGTAATTGACTTTGTCTCCACTAAAATCTAAACCCAGAGTCTTTACAAACAAAGACTGATTAGTTTGGTTCAATCAAACCAACAGAAAATCACTTGTATCGACAGCCTACTCTATAGGGGAAAATTATTGTTATGACAGAGTATTACACGGTTATGGGGTCGTCTAACTTGACTAGAATGCGCCTTCAAAAACGACACTACATCCAACTGATCTACTTGGAATTATCTGCAACACTGAGATAGACACAGAAGTGAGACCGAGAAAAACGACGACCAGAATGAAAACAATAACAACGACAACAACATTTAGTCGACCAAAATACATGGTATCTTATATTTATAAAACCTCAGAAATTTAAGCCAAAAATAAACAAATCAAAACTGTCCAATAAAGTTATCATGTTAGCACATGCATAAATCATGACTCCACCGCTAAAAAAGAAGCTTGTCCGTCTTAACAGCTCCTTTTTCTATTAGTTCTTGATTGGGGGAATACTGGAAGATCCATTGTAGGTTTGTATACTCTCCGTCCATGATATTTATTTATTAATAATCAGACAGACAGAAAGACAATCTGATGACATTGAATGATCAAAATAACTGAAAAGTTTCCTTGAAATACTTTCTGTATGTAAATATCACGTGATAACAGTCTCATTAAGATTCTTAAATGGCTGAAGGATATCACTGCTGAGTTAAGTACGGTAACATAAAAAAAACTCAGAAGCAATTAAAGTAAACAGAAAAAGTCTCAGCAGGACTAGCACCAGAAACCAAGAGATTACTGACCCAATAAACTCCCAAATAAACTTCAACTACACAATTACTAACTACTACACGTATCTTCCCAGCATCAATCAAACATGAAAATTAGTCAGGTAGGTAATGAAGTAATCAAGGTCATTTCATGCAGGGAATTTTTTTTAAAAAGACAACAAAGAAATACAATTAAAAATAAACGTACTTTAACCTGTTCATTGAAAATAACTGCACAAAACACAATTTCCGTAAATCCCTGAGATGGAAACATACGAAAGCATATTCCACCAATAGCGTGTTTTTCATTGCCTTCAGTAACTTTGAGTAGGATGAGATTTTTGTGTTTTCTGCATAAGGTATAAATTATATACATATTTTATATGAATTAATCAAACCGAAAGTGATTAAACGAAAATGTATGTGTATAGCAAGACATTTTGTCTTAGTGTATGCAAATACTCCATAGAATTTAGATTTTTTACTATATAAGCGCAAAATATAAACCTAAAGTATTTTTTTTCCTTCACGTTCCCCAGTGGAAAGTAGGGATTCAAGCAAGAAGCTTGAAGTTTCTGTAGTAGTGTTTATTTTACAGGATGGGGTTGCTAGCCTCATGCCCAACCTTTCCTCTTCACCAGCATTATTTCTGGCTTAACGAGGTAAAGGAGTGCGTCAGCCGGGGATCGAACCCCGGACCATGTTCATGGTCGGCGAGCGTTCTGACCGCTATGCTACCGACGCACAGAGTATTACCTCACGCTTATCTAGATGACTAAAACTCAGTACCCCCATAAACGACCTAGTACGGCCAAGGGCGAGCAGAGTTCAGTTTTTCCCTAGAAATGCTGTCATGTGGCCATGCGTACATAGTTTCTATCAGGTAAGTACTATTCATGCAGCAGCTTTGTTCCTCAAAAAAATGATAGGGAAAATGAGGACGTCCGGTGCCTACAACAGGACTGGTGGACATTCTCATCTACCCGAGGGAACTGGAGAACCCTGATTCCAAAGCTACGGTGTACATGGGTTCCAGAATCCAAACGGATAGGATGGAGCATGAACCATTTTTGGCACCAGAAACCATGGGAAGGTAGGTCCTGACGCTTCTCCACTGCCTTGTAGATCAGACTTTTAGTCAAAGGCTCGAGGCATCCGGGCAGTATCCTAGCCGTAGCACAATTTATGGGATTTTGTGCGGTTCATCTCTTGGTTTCAATTATGTACTAATTTTTAAAAAGCTCAGTGTTTATTACAAAGAAGTATAGACTCTTTACGATTAAAATAGCTATTGTATGACAGTCATCATGATTATCACTTTTGGAAAGATCTCAAATCAAATTAGATAACGTTTACTTCTTCAGGAGTTTATAGAGAAGCATTTCGTAGTTTTTGGCACAACCATTCGGTGTACCATTGAAAACCTTAACAGCTGTATGGACACAGTGTAAAAGTCAACAGTACATCATACGCTTAACAATACAAATTATGATGGTAACAATATTAGAAGCAACAACAGAAACATGATAATGAAACTGTATGAGGGTCATGATAAAAAGAAAACTGATCGGATTCAAAAGAAAAAAGCATTATATAGCTCTATAGTAAACACAGTTATAAATTACGAGTATGGCATCCTACAAACTTGGAATTGATTGATTTAGAAAATATCTACACTTCTCCAAAACTTTTAAATTTACTGTATGCTGAAACTTGTCTGCTTTCATTTTCTGATTATCTTAAAGTAGATTCCATCATGAATCCATATCGGTTAGAAAGTCCATAATGAAAAGGGAACAAGGGACTGTTGTTTAGTTCGAGACTGAAACTATTCAGTAACATGCACTTACGACTCCATGTGTGAATAGGTGCGTCAAGGTGTTTCGGGAAGCTCTAAAAATACTGGGAAACCAACCAGGTGAACATAGAGAAAACAGAGGTGATGAAGATTCCTGGGCAACACCACCAACAGCAACAACAACAACAGACAACAATCAGCATAAATGGGAGGAACCTGAAAGAAACAACCTCCTTTACCTACCTGGGAAGCATCATTTCAACTACAGGCGGAACTGATAAGGATATCAAAGCAAGAATCGGAAAAGCAAGACAAGCTTTCACTACTCTCAAGTCTGTGTGGAGGTCAACAACACTCAGCATCAAAAATAACATCCGGATTTTCAACTCCAATGTGAAGTCAGTGCTACTATACGGATCAGAGACTTGGCGTGTCATAAAGAGCATCTCAAACAAACTACAGACCTTCATTAACAGTTGTCTTCGCTCAATACTCAAGATCAGATGGTCAGAAAAGATCAGCAATAGAGATATCTCTGGGAGCGAACCAACCAGGAACCGATTGTGAAACAAATAGGCAGGAAGAAATGGAGATGGATTGGCTGGCCATACTCTGAGGAAACGATCAAGTGACATCACTAGACAAGCCATTGCTCGAGTGGAACCCGAAAGGGAAGCGGAGAGTTGGTCGTCAGTGCAAGGGTGACTTGGAGGAGGTCATGTGAAGAGGAGATGAAAACGTGTGGACAGACTTGGAGCCAGGTGAAGACTCTAGAGAACCGAACGCAATGGAGACGCACGGCTGAAGCCCTATGTTCCTCTAGGAATTAAAGGAAACAATAATAATAATAATAACCACGATTCGATTTTTATTCATCATAACTTCTTAAAGTGATTATGTAGCGAATTGTACCTCAACATTGTACCTTACACATTGGACTAGATTGAACAAGAATGAGCCTAGTTTACTTCAGACTTAATACCCCGTTTACCCTGACCATTGTGAAATAACAGTTACAAATTCAATGATTCTGAAAAACCTGAGTGATTCGTAAAAACCTTATATGTTATGAATGACTGACCGGTTTCAACGTAGAACATTGCACCGATGTGCAGCAGTTCGAGTCGCCATACTTCACATAGCCCATAAAGCAGAGAAAAGTAAGACCGAAAGCAAAACAGAGACAGCAAACACAGATATGAGGCAAAAAGAATAGTAATATGGAGGAACCACATAGTTTTATTTGATATTATTAGTCACAAGGAGTGGATGCATCTGCGCCATTGAGAACGATTTTGAACTATATCACCAATTGTCTTCAGCCAATGGATTTTACCGTCCCGAGGATCCCAACCAGCCAGGCAGTCTACACCTCCCTACGTGGCTGGCTTAAAATAACTGTTGTGGATTTATTTTATTGAATAATGATGAAGCCATGTTTTGGTTTGACCATCACTGGCTCTTTTCCAACATGATCCTATGTCAGTCAGCTAACATTGCCCATCGAGGAAGGCGATGGCTAGGCATACGTAACACATGTCCTAACCATTTCAATCGATGTAACTTCACAGCTTCGTCCATTGATTTACCCTCATATATGTTATCAATATTTTTACACTTGTTATTAACTCATTTCTTCACTTCGTTCGTAAGAAACCATTACTCTACTCGAACGAATTCATTATTAATACTGTCCATCAAGGTGACTTGGCAGTTATATGGATGTTCATGTGCCTGTCGTGTTATGAACCACAATTATTAAATGGGCTGTGATACTCGAAAAGGGTTACATATTTTTCGAATCGAAAAAAGTAAATCCATGAACCTAGTTTCGACAAAAAAATGTGAAACACAATGAAGTATATGAAGGGGGGGGGGGGAATTACAAGATACATAAAACTATTTCAACAAATCTCATGCATATAGACTTACGGGTCAAAAATAAGACGCGCGATATATTCTTTTGGCATACGAGGTAGTTGTAAGGCGAATACATTCAATAATTCCAAAAGCCATATATATGTTTGTGGAGCTTGATTTGGATTTAAACTGTTGTTAACTATGTGAAATTCAATATTCCCCGCAGATTCTTCTTGACGGGCAGCAGCATCTCTTGTTGCATTTAGTGAATGCAGCTGGTACAATAAATGTGAAAGACAACACTAGTTGTATGATAATAGCTCAGCGAGTAATATATATATATATATATCAGTGAAATAGGTAACTATCAAGGAAGAGATCAATAAAAATGAAACCACCGAAAAGTAGTTAAGGGACTTCAATTGCCGAAGGGGAGAGACAAAAGAAACAATGGCTTGATCACTTCTAAGGACCCCGGGACTAACCACCAATAACTCATCTAGAAATAACACCAACAGCCACAGGACTGTCAGTAAACAGTCCTCCAACAAAAGGAGTTTTCAATACCTACTGAAACCCAGGAAGACAAAAGAATCAGACGGAATTCTTCCGGAAGCACTGAGAATCGGTCTAGGGACCACAGCGGATATCCTCATGTAGTTATTACAGAAAGTTTGGTTAAAAAAGGAAAGATACCTACTGATTCGAAAAAAGGTTATCTTGTAAAACTACTAAACAAGGAAGACTTAAACCTCTGCAAAAACTGGAGCGGAATCATGCTCGTGTCCACGCCAAGCAAAATACTAAATCACGTCATCCTGGAGGAAGTAAAAGATGCCTTGGATGGAGAACTCAGCCCGGAACAACCTGGATTCAGGGAAAGCAAGTCATGTGAGTATCAAATTGCAGCTGTACGCATCATCATCAAACAGAGAAAAGAATGGAGGTCTCATCTCCACTTCAACTTCATCGACTCTGAAAGGGCCTTCGACAGAGTTAACCGCGAAGTAATTTTGAAACTACTTGAACATTTTGGAGTTCAGTACTACAAACCTTTATAAATCTCATACAATAGAAGTTTGATGATGCCACATATTACGTGATCCACAACGGAAAACTCAGTGAAGTCTTTGAAGTGACAAAACAAGGCTGCCTGCCATCACCGATGGCATTCCTCTTTGTGGTGACTGGACCATGCGGTAGACTGTGTGGGGAGGGGGGCGAGAAGACAGGAATAAGTTGGACTGAAAAGAAGACTCTAGAACACTTGAACTTCGCTTCTATAAACCAAATTTTATTAATATCGGTACGTCAGAAGAATAACCAAATACATTGTAAATGACTCGGCTCCTATTAGCACCAATACGTGAGGTGCAAAGTACTATATCAACTCATGTAAACTGTTGTTTTAAACAGATGTTGAGAGAGCAAGTGTCCATCAGATGTCATAGCGCAAGCTAGCAATAAGAATCGGTGGTAAAATAATATACAATGTTCAGCAAGTTAGTTTAGGACCGATAACATATGGAATGATTAAATCTGATTATACAGTATCTACTACTCTTATTCACAACCTAGGATGATAGTCCTACAGGATAAAATTTTGCTTCGGTTTGAAAAGACAACTCTTGACAAGCAACTTGCATAAAACTGGGAAATATCGATTACTTGAATTTAAATAATGATAATAATAGTTTCATTTATTTGAAACCTTGATAAATTTCGATGAAGTATAAAAAGTTGATGATAATAATAATGCCAGATAATAATCATGTTCATGTTGAGTGGAAAATCAAAATCAAATAGCGCGAAATGAAGCTAAAAAATAGTCAATATATAAAAACATCAGAGAAAAATAAACGTAATCCAAACATTCCCACTTTAGAAGGTAATTCAACAACACGATTTAATTAAGTAGGTAATTTTAGTGATTTCTCGTCTATGCTTTACAATTTTATCATGCATTAGTAAACTCTGATAATAAACTCGATACCAACATCCAGTTTGAAAACCTCCTCCTACAAGCAAAAGATTTGACCCCAACGTCAGACGATGAAGTCGCTAGGTTTAAAACTACACTAGTCGACAGTTGTTAACAGTATAAAAACAGTAGTCATTCTAGTAAGAGTTTCCTGACTAAACAGCATCGAGAAACCCTGAGAAAGTTAAGGAACGACGAAAACATTATAATCAGTAGACCTGATAAAGGAGCCGGAGTAGTACTGATGAATAAGTGTGATAATGTTGACAAAATGAACTCGCTCTTAACGGATGAAACGAAGTTCCAAAAGCTTATCAACCCAATGGATCTGGACAGAAAGGCTGAAAAGCAGTTAACTAACACGTTTAATGAACTGAGTAAAAGTGGAGTAATCTCAGAGGCAGCCTATAACCGTCTTAAACTTACTGGAAGTAGTACTTCACGTCTGTAGGGTCTGCCCAAAGTACATAAACCGGGACTTCCTCTTCGCCCAGTCCTGGATATGTCAAACTCCACCTACCATGGAGTGGCAAAGTGGCTAGGTGAACTCCTCCAACCGCTACACAAGTTGGTAGTAAACCATAGTGTTAAAGACGTTTTTGAATTTATTGCTAACGTGAATGATATCAATGTAAATGGGAAGCAAATGCTTTCCTTAGATGTAGCGTCACTGTTTACCAATGTACCACTTATGGAGACTGTGGAATTCATATGCCAACAGATACTAGAAAAACAGATCGACATCGGAATTCCAGTTATTAGTCTGAAAGAGTTGCTTTTAAGATGTACTATGAATGTACATTTCATATTCAACAACCTTTACTACAGGCAAATCGACGGTATTGCCATGGGTTCTCCATTGGGGCCAATTTTGGCAGATTTCTTTCTTGCCAAGAGTGAAAATGGTCCATTGAGACAAGTAATAGAGAAAACTGATTCTTATATTCGTTATGTTGATGATACTTTCATTATTCTTGACGTGAAAACTGACAAGAATGAAATGTCAAAAAAGTTTAATGATGCACATCCATCGCTCATCTTCACTTGTGAAGAGGAACATGAGGGTGGATTACTTTTCCTTGACGTCCAATTGAACAGAAGAGAGGATGGTTCACTCAAGAGAGATGTCTATAGAAAACCTACATCTGTAGGACAATATACACATTTCCTCAGTTTTGTATCAATCCGATATAAAATCAATTTGGTCAGATGCCTTACGAATAGAGCAAGACGTATCTCTACAGATGACTCCCTAGAAAATGAGCTAGGATGTATCCAAAAAAAGCTGGTCCAAATGGGTTATCCTATTAGATTTGTTAGGAGACACATGAATACCAGGTACAACAAAGAAAAACTGACAACAGTTAAAAAGAAAGAGCTGTTCATGAAACTTCAATTTAATGGGGACGTGGCTAGTGAAGTCTTACATCTGAGATTATCGAGAGCGATAAAACGGACTTATTCTGCCGCCACCCTTTGTTTGTCACTTTCCAACCGACCAATTTTGATTGCTCAAGTGAAAGATAAGCTACCTAGCTGTGCCACTTCGATGTGTATCTATAAATTTAGTTGCTCCTGTGGAGAAAGCTATATAGGGCGAACAACTAGACAGCTTAACAAACGCATTAATGAGCATCTTCCTTCATGGTTCGGAAAAGGTCAAATAAAATCCATACGAAGTTCTATTTTGGCTCATTTGATTGATAGGGGTCACCAAGTGGACAAAAATAGTGCTTTCAAAGTTATCTATCGTATTCCATCGAGTTTTTCGAATGGAATCAGAACCCGTCTTGTACACCTAGCCGAAGCTATGGGAATTCCAGAGAATAATCCTAGTCTTTGCATACAAAAGAAGTTTGTTCTACCTTTGTCTCTCCCTTGGCCAGATGAATTCTATTCAAAACCCTCCCACCCTTTCTTATTTTCCATCTCCTTCGTACTTTTATAATATCTACTTAAACTCTGAATATCGTTCCACTTCACCTTTTAAGATTTGACCCAATTTATTTATTTACTGAATTGTCTACATATACACTTATATACATATACTTTGTTATTCTTATCACCTACATAAACCTTATTATCAATATTTTGTTATCATTATAATCATCGTTATTAATTTTGTTCAAAACCTTTACCACATTATTATTATTTTGATTCCCAAAATCACTGTCATTGGTTAAAATTTTATATATAAATCTATGTAACAGTTTGAAAAAATTGTAAATTAGAGTAAAGCCTGAAGAAGATCTAATTGAAAACAATATTGTTCGCTTATATGTCCTGTTCTGACAATAAACGGCCGAAAATACGTATTTGCTTAAAAATAAGAATATTAGGAAACTAAGGTAATATTAAAACGAAAGTATTAACTTACTGTTTGAAAAGGATAAAATCCTTTTTGAGGACTTTCACCATTTTTAATTTCTTCCAAAATTTGTTCTAATTCAGTAATGCAAATATCTCCTGAAACAGGTAAATGCAGTTTCTTGCTTAAAGGTTTTTTCAAATCACTATGAGTAATTGTATATTTCTCCTCGGATTTACAATCCAGTTTTTCTGAATCACTCAGAGATGAGGATGCATTCACTAGCGAAGACTGACTTCGAAGACGAACGCCTATGATTAGGTTGAAACATCGTGTTTTAACATTACAGGGTTAGGGTTATAAAGAAAACATAGTAAGTAAAAGATTTTCAATGCCTTAGTCTTGTATCGGTTATGGTCGATGGTTGTGAAATTTTCTAAATTTCAAGAGAAAGAATATCCAATGATTATCCTTCTTAAGTTTTTTTCCATATCCCCTGCTGTTCACCACAAAATTAAACCATCAACACTGCTTCCCAATGCATAGTTTTGTTTGCTAGTGTTGCTGGAAGGTGAATATTTGATAGCGTTTATTATTCGGTTTAAAATACTTTTCTTTTCTGTGGTAACTTAATAGAAGTATTTGCACACGTATAACAGAAAGGCTCTTAGTGCCTAAAAATATGCGAATAATGAATGCACTTAGAGAATCGAAAAGTTCTAACTCCACAATAATGGTGCATATTGGATCCAGGACTCCTGAGCAGCACAAAGCATGTGACTACCGCCATCCGTAGTAAAGTGAATTAACTTACAATTCGCAGACTAAAGGTTTCGGTTTTCGCACCTTGAAAGTGTTACAATTCATTTTACAGGCACAAAAGTAACTTTAAGTGAGAAGAAAACAACAAAAACTAAGAGGAACTTATGCCACTGCTAGACTTCTCAAAATCCAACTTTGTTATTAACATGCTCTCGATTACACTTAGAAGGTAGTTAGAAGCATGACAAGTCTGTCACAATGATAAAAATACTCTTTCTCCTTAATATCCCTAAAGCGCTTAACAATTTCTGTCTATACTTTCTTCTTCCGCACTTTTATCTTGTATTTAGTTGTTTTTTTATTACTTCACCTTCCCAGCGGAACATAGGACTTCAAGCTACAGCTTTAGAGTTTCCGTAGCAGATTTAAAACTAATTCTTATGAAACACAGAAAAATAGGCCTGGATAGCTAGATAAACTACCAACCTCTTCTACGGATGAACTAAATGGAATTATATGATTTCTAAACAGTAAGTAGATTGCATGGAGGATTTCATCATGAGCTGACATCAGTTAGAGAACCACTGGAAAACGTGGGAGTACTGGACAGCTGTTTCGTCCTAGTTTGGGACTCTTCACAGTACTCACCCACCACAGGGGCTCGAACCCAGGACCTTCTGGTTACAAGGCGAGCTCGCAGACCATTGAGCCAATGGGACCCGATCGTGAATTGGCAGAAGTTAGAATTCAAAGACCTCCACGCAATCAAACAAAATCCCTACAAAAACAATACTTGAAAAGTAAGTAGATTGGCATAAAATTATGATATAACCGAAATGAAGTGGATATATTGTTATAGTACGAAATCCAAACAAATAATACAAATTAATTAATTAACTGATAAGAACTAAGATTTCTGCTTACTTGATCTCCGACTGGCTGAAGTTTCATTGATTTTATATGGTTTTGTAGATAATTCCTCAGTTTCTTCTTTAATGCATTTATTTCCTTCAATACTTGTATCACAAACTGTCAGATCAGAGTTACTGAATGGTTTATTCAATTTAGAATCAGTGATCAGTGGTGTAACAGCTATGTCTGTTTTCAGGTCAACTGAACTATCGAGAGACAGACTATGCTGATGTGTAGGATGATGAACTATGTGATCAATAGAAATTGACTGTAACAATTTATTAGGAGTAATAATATGGAAGTCAGTAAGCGATGGTACTCGAAAATATGGATCCCATATTGATGTTGTATCATCCCTGTCAATAGTATCCTCCAGTAAACTGCATAACCTAATATGGGTATACACGGTGGATAGAAAACAAATAAGAACTTAATGGACAAATGTTTGATATAAAGCATACACAAAAATAAGAAGCATGATGAGTGTCACTTACCGCAATAAAGGCTGTATCAAATGTGCTTTGACATCCAGTATAGAGGAGGCTGTAGAATTATTTTTGAAAAAGTCACTTAGTTTTCGTTTAATTTCAGGTAAAACAGCTAATAGGAAATTCTTTCCAAATGCACAGGTAACTTCAGTATACGGTAATGTAAGACAAAACTTTGGTATATAGCAATGACACAACCATCTACAAGAAATGTATATATAAAGGGATATATAGTCTACTTACCTCATATAAATTAATTTATATCCTGTTTTGTTTTCATGCTTGTGAATTCTTTGGCTTGGATATGCTATTTTATAAGAATTAATATAGGACAAAAATAATTTGCACAATTCAATCGTGATGTCTGGTTTTTGAGGATTAGTAACAGCGCAAAGAAGTAGAGCATTTCTAACAGCCTTTTAGAATAATGACAAATAAAACCACGCATATGTACTTACTGTCTCTATATTAGGTCGTTCAAATGGAGGTTTATCATCAAAAACAGGTTGTACTTTGTTCATTAAAGCTTTACGAAGGCGCTAAAAATTCATTGTTAGTATTTTGTAGGATATTTTTACCTTCATGATACAAAAATAAATATTTCTCGTCTCGGTGTCCTCTTCTTTTGTGCACAAGACATACATACGCTCCACATCGTTAACCATTTGCATTGCGCTGTTAAGCCAAACACTAGCATTTGAGTCAGACAGGCTAAAATGAACGTGACGGCAATTTTTACACACAGCATCGTTAACTTTGTCGTCTGTTTCCAAATCAGTTGACTTCCATGTACTACATTTACATCCTTCATTCTGAAAATGAGCATTACTTTCTGAAGTGTTAAACACACCTGGCATTTGGAATATGGCAGATATCTTTTCAACTGTTGTCTCAAATTCAAACTTTCCATACTAGAAATGTTATTCTCTTTAATGCTCATACCTATCTGACATTGTTAGCTGCAAAATGTACAATTATACAATTTTCATCATTTTAAGGGAATAACTTCGAAACTGCAAAATAAAGAAAAATTAGATTTATTCATTCAAAACATTTAAAAAGTATTACAATATCGATTGAAACTTCTTTTTAGAAAAGGTCAAGAATTATTACGCCTTTTCGAGAACAAACAGTTCATTTTCATATAGATGCAAAAGAATTTCACTTCTTTTATTATGAGCTGAAATAACCGACGATCTACACAATCTCAATGGAATTATCTCCAATGCCTATACACTAGCTAATACTCCAGTTAATCTAGTATATAATCAATCATCATAACCCCTAGCTACTTCTGGAGCTATACGATCAGATTTTTTTGTTTCACCTCGTTTAAAACCGAATAAAGCTTTCTCAAACTTAGCTATGATTTTCAGGATCGATTTTAATATCTTATTCAGGATGGCGTTGGATGGTTACTAACTGATGTGCAGATGTAGGTTATTTGAACTTTACACCCAAGCCATGAAAGTTAATTTCTTCTTGAAGTACCTCAATGTGTTGCGTAGGGCAGAGTTTAGGCGGTTTACAGTATTGCTCAGCACATTGGCATACTTCCTTTCGGACTTCTGTCGCATGACAAAACACTTAAGACAATATCTGCTTTTTTATAAATTAAAAAAATTTTCTAGTGACTTGCTACAGGATGGAGTTTCCTGGAGTTCTAGTGAGAAGTCGTGACCAGTAAGGTCCAATTAGATATCACGTGTGTGAATGGATGTCTCACCAACGACAATGGTTGGGGTCGCGCTAAGTCACGAATTGGTAGAAGTTAGAATTCATGAGCCATTGAATCGGGTTCCAGTGGCTGAATGGTATACGAGCTTGCCTTGTAACCGGAAGGTCCTGAGTTCGAATCCCAGTGGGTGCGTACTGCCGATGATTCCCAAACTAGGATGAAACAGCTGTCCAGTACTCCCTGGTTTTCAATGGTTCTCTAACTGATATCAGCCCGTGATCAACTCATAAAAATTTTTTTATTATAGCTTGATTCCACACAGTATTTTTGTTACCATTATGGAATTTTCAGCATGTGATATCGGTAGCTCAAATTTAGCAGGCTGATCATTGATATCAAGTGAATTAGTAGTGATGCCATCGACAACTGTGAATGTTCAGTAGGTCAGTTAAGAATATCACAATACTGTGGATAATTTTCCTCGAATCAACAACAACGATGATTCAAGTTATATGAACCCAGACGACAAGTGGTGGATGACCGGATATAACCCTTAAATTGCTTAAGCCTTATCAAACGATGTAAAATTGAGCACTTATTTTGACTAACGGAGATTTACACCCACTTTCCACGACTTAGATGTCCAAACACGAAATAAAACTAATTTGGCGATAAAAATGAAATGATGGGAGAAACAGCTATATGCAATGTATTAAAAGGAGTACTGTTGCTTGTATAATGTTATTTTAACAAAAGGAAAATGTATCGTGATCATTAATGGTATTATATATAAGTCAGTTATAAAAGCATCTTAAACAGGTAACATCATCTAGGGAGTTTCGACTCATTAGTGGGATATAACTAAGCACAACTGCACTTCACGTCCTAGCACTACGTCAACAACTTGTTTCACAATTTAGAAAGCAATAATCAGTATAGCGATTTCTGAGATAATGATAACGATTAAATTCATGCAGGCCAAAAAAAGTCAAGCACATTTTCTGACGACTATAAAACCCATCCTCGCCACACCATGATTATAACTGCTCTAAAACTAATTTTAAAGGGAATATCAGTAAACAGAGCCATTAGTGAATTATGAAGTATTAAAGAGCAAAGTAACTGGACGTCGGAAAACGCTAGCAAACGCCAAAGGTGCACGCTAAGCAAAGCATCGTATGATTTTCACAAAATAGAGAATATTTGTAGCTAAGGTGGATGATTTTGATTTGGTATGCTCTTCAGTTTATCGGATGCTTTAAATTCGCGCATGGTTATTCAAAACTCTGATTTCCATATATTGAGGCTGACAAATATTTGAGCCAAACGAATACAAAGACATTTCTGGGAAGCCCAAACATTTGTATTGTTAAGATGAAAAAGTGCTTTGAAAAAAAAGGAAAATTAACTTCATTAATCTGGAATACTCACGAGTATTGATTTAAAACAATTAGTCCCTTTGATAAATTTGAATAAGGCATTTAGAAGACAAATTTCGCGAGATGATATCATTTCGTAGTGTCTTTACAACCGCTTTACAACTAACATGGTTAACAATAATAAAATAAAGGCCATGACAATTACTCAGTTAAATAAAAAACACATGACCTATCTAAATATGATTGGTCATTAGTATGTACTTTTGTGTTTTTTATTTAACTGAGTAATTGCCATGAGTATTGATTTGCCAAAAAGTAGACGTCACTCAAAATTAATCTGTTATTGATCAACTTTGCTAACACTTGCGAATCAACTATACCTTGTTTTTGGTAAACAAAGCGTCCCCCTGTAGGTGTATCATCAGGAATACAGTTCTGCAGAGCTCAATTGCTTAGTACAGGATTTTTTCAATATAATACGCTACGAAAAATATTCGATGACAAGACTCGTAACACAAATTACTTATGTTGAAAAAGATGAGTTTAGAGGGTAGTCTGCTTAAATAACAAGCAATGATCTAGATCTCGAGATGATTGCGGCTTGTGACGGTGCATTTAGAGGAAGTACGGAGTAACAGTAAGAGCCGGTGTCTAAAATCCCCGCTATCTATGCACCACAACTGTATATAAAATTTGGTATTCACATGACATACAACAGTCAGGCAGCTCCGTCGAATGAATGTTGGAATGTGTCTGCATGGTAACTTCAGACAGGATACTAAGGGTAAGCCAAAAAAGCTATGTACCAGGAATATAACGAGTAGCTGTCTAGTTGTAAGGAGGAAACCAATGACGAAAAAGCAATAAGTTTTGTGGAACACACAATTAGCAACCGGTAGAGAGAAGTTCACTAGAAATAAATTTATTTCATTACAAACCCCTTCAGCGACGTGACAAGAACTTAAAGAAATGGATTGGCGAGAGCCACTGGGCACTTCAATTGCAGACTGCTTCATGGCAACTCCAGAAAATAATTTAGAAAGACTGATATAGGTGTTTTGTTCTGTGAACTGCGTAGCTTAGTTACGAAGCCTTCATTGTCTTTCTCCGCAACATCTTTTACACGGGCCTTATGATAAAATCTCACCTTTGTTGCAGAATAAAATGATTTTCCCGACTGCATTTATATGAAAAGCCTGTCAACCACTTCAGTCAGGTTAGACTGAACAAGCATGTGATTGACAGGAGTCCTATAGAGTACCAGAGACAGCTAGTACTGGATTGTTTTTTACTCAAAAAGATTGTATTCGTATATTAAACGTGGGACTAAAACTAGCAGTGGTATACCGTCACTCATAAGCATTAGTGTAGAAGCGGCTGAGTCAGACGAAGGAAAGGCTGAAAACCTCTCTGAATACTTCTGTGACGTCTTCTCGTCTGATCGCACCACCCAAAGATATGGCGAGGTCACTGCCATCGCCACTTAGATGCCCTAAATTGCGGTAGAGTACACAAAGGTCCTTAAACTACTGTCTAAGCTGAAGCCAGGTAAATCACCTGGACCTGACGGACTTCACCCTAGACTGCTAATCTCCTTGGCGGATATAGTATACATTGCATTTACGGAGATTTTTCAGATGTGTCTGACCCAGGCTAGGCTACCCAGGGACTGGAAAGATGCTTTTATAAGCCCCATCTTCAAAGAGGAGAACAGGCAGTTAGTATCTAACTACCGGGTTGTAAGTCTGACCTGCATTACTTACTTACTTTACTTCGGCTATCTCCTACGAGAGGATGAGCCGGCTTCATGAACATCTCGAATCATCGCTGCCCAGGCCCGGCGATCTGATGCAAGGTTTTGCGACAGGGTTATCCAATTCTTGTTCCACAGACGGAGTCCGTAGACGGTTTGTAGCCCCAGGCACTCCATATCAGCCTTGACTGTACCTCGTTTGTAAGAGAGTTCATGAAGTTTCAAGGGAATTTGGTACGAGTGATGTCCCCAGAATCGCTCGGCCTTTTGTTTGAGAGTGCAGCTCTAGCCTTTACACAACCAAGTGTGACCTACAAGGCAGTAGGAGTGGAGTAGGGAGTCCACTATCGATTGGCAGCCGGTGACCGGAGTTCGGTTCATACGCCTTTTTGAATGGGGCCAGACATCCAACAAGCCCTTTGTTCATACGTCTGCCGGTGAGCTCCAGTGAGCTTCATACGCCAGTCGTTGGAGGTTTGGAATCAGGGTTTAGCCATCTCCCCTAGACTGTCATCCAATGGACAGTCAACCCGGTGAAGAGCGCCGGGCATCCGCTTTCGCCCTCTCACTTTGGTGAAAAACACCTCCGCCAGGTGAAGGCAGTAAGTAGGACTTCCTCGGGAGAGGCTATGTAAGACGCCCGGTCATATGGGAGCATTTCAAGAGGTGTGCGGAGGGATGGCCAACACGCAGCGCAAGGCACCCACCCCCGACCATCCTGAGGCTTTGGAGACATTATAGCAGAGGTATTGGAAACTATTATAAGGGATCAGCTATCAGCTCATGTTGAAAAACATGGCTTGCTGGCGGTGGAACAGCATGGATTCCGACCAGGACGATCATTTTTGACAAACCTACTATTGGCTAGGGAAGACTGGGTTGAGACTAGAGATAAAAACCTTCTGTTGGACGCGGTTTTTATCGATCTTAGCAAGGCATTCGATAAAGTATCCCACTTAGGTCTCCTTAGTAAACTTAAAGGTTTCGGACTAGACCAATGCCTATGTGAGTGGTTTAGGGATTACCTAATGGATAGAAGGCAGAAGGTTAAAGTTAACGGTGTACTATCAGGGTGGAAAGCGGTATGCAGCGGAGTGTTTCAGGGAACTGTATTAGGCCCCTGGCTTTTCCTATTATACTTTAATGAACTACCGGGAATTCTTACTTCATCTTCATTATTATTTGCGGACGATATTAAGATCTGGAAAACTGTAAATAATAACGAGGATAGGTCGGCCCTACAAACTGATCTAGATAAATTAGCTGAGTGGTCGAACCTGTGGAGTTTGGAAATTAATTCTAGGAAAAGCGCGGTAATGCACTTAGGTCATAAGTCTTATACGTCGTACTCCCTAGGGAAACAGAACTACCTGATGTTAACGGACACAAGGACCTAGGAATCATTGTCAGCAATGATTTGAAAACAACTGCAAATTGCAATGCAGCTGCAGCTAAGGCTTTTCGAATGCTATGGGCACTTCAAAGAGCTATCAAACGATTAGATGAGCCTATTTTCAAAATACTCTACGCAACATATGACAGGCCTCATCTAGAATATTGCATACAAGCCGCTAGTCTATGCTTCAAAAAGGAGGGATATATCTTAGAAAGAGTACAAATTGTAGGAACCAATTTAGCTAATAGTATCTTACACCTTTCTTATAGCAAAAGGATAGAGCATTTAAATCTCTTCCGTCATCATACCGAAGGAAGAGAGGCGACTTAATTTTAGAATACCGTATACTTAAGGGTGATTTAGGAACTGACCTTTCTAATATTTTATCCCTTTTTAGGATACATTCACGGGGTTACCGCAAAAAGGTGCTCAAACCGAGGACGATTAAAATACTTGCAGAATTTAGATTTTCTCACAGAGTGGTCAACGACTGGAACTCCTTACCTGATTATGTAGTATCAGCTCCATCGGTGAACGCTTTCAAAGAAAAGTTAGATCTCTGCAGAGATATATTTTGCAAGGATTAGCACAGGTCACAAGAGCCTACTATCCTTATCATCTGAATCCGAATCTGAAACTTGAGATAACGCAGTATGGGGGAAAACCTTCATAAAATGCTTTGCAGTGTACTAATACCGACTTCAGATTATGAATACTTTTTCTCTGGAAATATGCTATTGAATCCCTGTTCCAATCGAGACCCAAAGAAATAATAATATAACACAATGTTTTTACATTGTATATACATTTGAATACCACAACGGAAAACTCAGCGAGGCGTTTGGAGTAAACACAGGAGTCAGACAAGGGTGCTTATTATCACCAATGATATTCCTAATTTCGGTGGACTGGATTATGCGTCACACAGTGAGAAACGAGAAGACAGGGATATCCTGGACCGACGTGAAAAAACCTAGAAGACCAGGATTTCGCGTATGATTTATGTTTGATGTCACACAAAATCGAGGACTTACAAGCGAAAACCGACAAACTGGTCGAAGAAGCAGCAAAGACAGGACTCCAGGTGAACAGAGACAAGACGGAGGTTATGAAAATAACCAACCAACAACAACAACAGCAGCAACATTCAGCGCCAGTCACCATCAACGGGAGGGATTTGAAGGAGATTATTTCATTCATTTATCTAGGGAGCATTGTCTCAACTACAGGAGGAACGGACGAGGATGTCAAATCGAGAAGGCGAGAAACACATTCACCAACCTGAAACCTCGTAATCTTCGTCACTCAGCATCAACAACAAAATTCGGATTTTCAATACAAACGTCAATTCAGTTCTTCTATACAGATCAGAAACTTGGCGGGTCACAAAGAATATTTCCAACAGCCTGTTGCAAACCTTTATCAACAGCTACCTTTGCTCTATACTGAATATCAGATGGCCGGAAATAATCACCAACAAGAAACTAAGGGGACAAACAAAACAAGAACCAATCGCTCAACAAATATGCAGGAGAAAGTGGAGATGGATTGGACACTAGCTGAGGAGGCCGCTGGGTGACATCGCGCGTCAGGCCCTCGAGTGGGACCTGAAAGGGTAGCGACGAGTGGGACGTCCAAGGGTGACATGGAGGAGATCGTGTGAAGAGGAGTTGAAAGAGCATGGACTAACATGGACGCAAGTGAAAAGCACAGCAGAAGACAGGAGCAAGTGGAGGCGTGCAGATGAAGCCCTATGTTCAACTAGGAACCCAAGGGAACAATAAATAATAATACATTTGAATAAGGCATTTAGAAGACAAATTTCGCGAGATATCATTTCGTAGTTTTTTTTACAACCGCTTCACAACTTACATGGTTAACAATGATAAAATAAAGTTCATGACAATTACGCAGTTATATAAAAAAAAAAGTACATACTAATGACCAATCATATTTAAATAGGTCAAGCATTCCATGGCATGCAAAGGTTGAAGTCTATTGTTTTTTGTACACACAGTTTAGGCTATATGTGATTAATCCAAAGTGCTTATTGTCATGAACATTATTTTATTATTGATAACCATGTTAGCTGTAAAGTGGTTGTAAAGAAACTGAAATGATGTCATCTCGCGAAATTTGTCTTCTACATGCCTTATTCAAATTTATCAAAGGGACTAGATGTTTTAATTATATATACAAACGAAAGCTGTGCTCAAAAAATCGTCCAGTTGCTAACTTTGTGTCACTGTGTCCTACATGAAATAAATTAATTAGTACGGGAATGTTATCCTGAGGTATTAAATCTAGTGCACTTAAGAATAGTTTGGTTTCTAAAAATGCCGAAACCTGGAATAAAGTCTCCTATCATATAAATCCTTTTCCTCTCTTATCCTCTCTGTCTACAGACAGAAAAAGAAATAAAGATAAACGTAAAAGCAGACAGATTGTTCTATGCAGACTGGTCGACTATTTCTTTGAACTCATTAGTTTTCTCAAAATTCACAAAACACTTAAATAATGATCTACACTCTTCATCTTGCTAGAACAAGTGGAAAATGTAAATCTAACCTTGCTGTATCCACAAAGAATTTTGAAACGACCTTGAGACTGGGAGAGCCGCCTTCGGACACTTGACCTTTCACTACTTTATATTGACCATTTTTTATTTGTCGATTGTCATATCTTTATTGATTTACTTCATTAAATTACAGTGTACTGTTTAAGCTTAAGTTAATCCCTACGTTGTGGATTTTAATACTGATCCTAGCTACATGCACATGTAAGAGACTTGATTGGTCTCTACAAGGGCGTACATGTGCATCAGATACTACCCGATCCACTGATGAAGGCTATTGACAGACGATTAAGGGCTTGTGGGTTTTTCTGATCTCTTTGGCTTTTTACTGTTAGTATCCAAATAACTACATTCATAGTAATTCGGAATAATAAATACAGGCTAAGACATCGAAAAAATCGACGATCACCAGAAGAACGAAAAGAAGTACCCGGAGTCTTCAAGGAGTGTTATGTAAATACGAAGGCAGATATATATGAATACACATTTATACTTCATACAGAAACCATGAAATATATTGACGCACTAAATTTATCTGTTATGTTAACGCCTATTTTACATGCATGAACTAATATTTATTCGCTGTCAATAAATATTTAACATGTCCTTCCAGTAATGTTAATGTCTTTATTGATGACATATGTTTCTTTTTGATTAGACACAGTCTATTCCTACCTCCAGACTGAATTCTATCAGTCAGGCTTGCAATGTGGCCACCATGCTAGGTGGCTCGCCATCACAGTGCACAGTGAACAATTGTTGGTATTAGATAGTTGGAGGCAGTCAGCAGGAAGACTTAGGCCTAGGTTTCCTGATAGTATGCACTCATCAGTAAGGCGTACCTGCAACCTCGAAGGAACTCATGTCCCTTCTGAGATTCAAACCCACGTCACTCAGTGCTGCAGTCAGAAACGTTACAACTGAGCTATTCAGGCGCACGATTGATCTACTGTAGGACTGTATTAGAGGTATATTTCTACTCATACATTTAGCATACTGAGTGTATCTGTGTGAAAAGTATAAGAGTCAAGTGGGGGAGAGCATTGGCATTTTGAGGAGACTGGTCGTAAGAGGGTAGGATGGAAAACTCACCGAAGTAATTTGATTCAGGAAAACCACACCATATTTATACACTCTTAACCACACTAAAGTTCGACTAGGTTAGAGGAGAATAAATTGTTCTCTTTTTCGGGGGTCGATCCAAGGCTGTGCAAGTTAATGTATAACGTTATTTTGTGTCCATGACATAAACTAAATCCAGATTTGGGGAACAAACATTTCTACCCCTTTAGTCATTTTCTTGAAATTCTGATTTCAGCATTAGAGGACGTTATATTTCTGGAGTATCTGACGCTGACATCTACTACTGGTTTAGATTTGTATAATTTACGTTCGGTTGCCCCAAAAGTTATGATGAAATTACTATTGCTAATGAAAATCCAGCTGCATTAGACAGACAGGATATGGCACACCATGATGCGGAGTTTCTTAGTTTAAGACAAATAGTACTTATCAAGTTGTTGAGTTCATGGCTACCTAACTGACTTCACAACAAATTAGACTACAATAAAACTGTCACCATCTGTGAATTTCTTAATGAGTGGTTTCCAAAATTTAGTTTAGAATCACACACTCTTATTGCAACTTGACCCCTTACCAACTCCTCTGTCAGACCGTAGTGTTCACCACTCAGTTAACAGGACAAACTATCAGGAGCGAATCATGCAGAAATTTGTCAAAGATCAATTATCAGACTATATACTTAGGGAAGATCTTGTTACAAGGTCTCAACGAGGATTTCTAAAAAATAATTTATGCGTTAATTGTCACTTCGACTTCCCCAACTGCATCACCAGTAGTTGCGAAGCACGTAAGCTAGCCGTTGTTCTCTACTTCAATATATATAGGACATTTGATATAGTATCTCACAGTAATCTCTTTTGAGAAGCTGTACTTATCTGGAATTCGCAATCCATTACTGAACTGCTTAAAGTCATTTCTAAGCGACCGGGTACAAATAACCAAAGTTGGATCTGTGTTATCTCGTCCTGGGGTTGTGCCAGGTGGTTTCCTGGGACCACCTATTTTTACAGTCAACATTAGCAGCATTTATAACTGCTTCACCTCACGTATAGCATTCCTAGATGCTGACAACCTCAAAGTGGTTTAATCTAGCTATAGTTATGAATTACACGATATGGTAGGTAAAAGTAATCTTGAACTAAGTAGTCTCGCATCATGGTGCACTGAATCCTGTCTGAAGCGTAACACTGACAAATGTGGCTGTATGCACACCGGTGACAGTTATCTCGACCTATCTCTTGAAGCAAATGGGCGAAAACTAAGGTCAACTTTTTCATAAGTTTCGGTATCAGATACTCTAGTATTTTGACGTTGTCTGAAAGAACTGATTATTATAGACGTAAAACGTGCAGGCTCCTAGGCTGCATTGCTGTCATTTTCTTCCATTATGAAGTAAGGATTTTATTATACATAGTATGCGTTCGATCTATTTTAGGATATTTTCTACTTATTCTTAGTGGGCTCCTATAGAATGACAAGCTTATATTAGAGGAAGTGCAACGACAGTTCACTTTAAGAGCTGTCGGATGAGAATGAGGCCTTGACCACGCTGAGAGTTGCAAAAGAAGGAAACAACCAATCTGGAAAAGACGTCTTAAGCTAAACCTTATTTTCTACTACAAGTTAACTGAACTTCTTGTTCACTCCCCTAGGCCAATAATTAAATCTACCTGTGTAATTAATTATGATCTCAGAAACCACAACACCATAGTTGCTTAAGAGCCTTTTTTAGACTTACACGCGGTTCATTTTCTTAAGTCATTTGGAATAGACGGCTAACTAATGTGTGTGACGCAAACACACTTCCAGTATTCACCTCCTTAGTCACTAGACACCTCAAAGATGACAATGCTCTCCTGCGTCTGACTCCAACACCCTTTTCGCTTCATATAGATATTCTTGGTTCATTGAACGTACGAGTAACAAGAAACATCATTAGTCAATATTGTTATTAATATTCGAAGAACACTATAAACATTTCTAGACAGGGCATAAAAATTAGTTCATTCATGCAGTAAAGAAGTTGGCATGACAGAACTAGTTAGTGTGTCAAAAGAAATCATGGTTTCTGTAAAAAAACATTTAAATCTACAGATCATTCCTTGAGAACTCCATGTACTCCTTTCTGTGACGCTGTTTTGCCTGTATTCATCATTTTAGCTTCTGTGTGAATATCTGAGTGATGATGAAGAGTGTAAATATTTGACGATTTACAAAAGCAATCTATAGAGATCTTCAAAATTACCAGCCCCACATACTACAAGCCAAATCGCTTTAAACGCGGACTAGTCAAGACTCTGTACTATAGAGTGAGGAGAATATGCCCTTTAGAGAAATTTATGTTTCTTGAAAAGATGTTGAAGAGCAAAGGGTACCCTCAAAGGTTCATCAACAAGTATGGAAGATCTGAAGTCACAAATGTAAAACACATTACAGTAGAGAAAAAGCTAATCTACGTTGAGCTTGATTATAAAGGTGAAAACATTGTAGCGATGGTCAACAGAAGACTGAGTACGTCACTAGCCAGAAACTGTCCTGCAGCTAAGCCGGTTCCAATGTTTTGAACAACTTGCTCTTTGATGCAATCAAAAATCGATAGATACCCATCTCATGTTAACTTCAACTGTATATACAAATTTACATGTATCTGCGAGAGCCGTTACATTGGAATGACAAAAAGGAGGGCATATCTACGATTTTCTAAACATGTACCAAAAAGCTTATGTCTAAAGGGAAAAATGCTCTGAAAAGTGCCATCTCAAAGCACCTTCTTGACACGGGTCATATGGTGGACGTCACGAAATTATCAATAGGAAGAAGAGTCCAATTCTTCTGAAGTTTGCTGAAGCCATCTCCATCAATCTCCTGAAACCTGATTTGTGCGTTTAGAAAGGAGCGGTTATCAGTCTTTCTTTGCCCTGGTAACTGGATATTTTCATCTCTCTTTCATGTGAATGCGTAATACCGAAATTTCCCATTGTGTATGATCACTATTGTTCGGAATAGTGTTTGATATTACATATATATATAATAACTATATGCATATATCGATTGATTTTTTGTTTATAATGAACTCTGTGCAAGTATGTTAAAATTGTTTCTGTAGATATATTTAATATGGCCTGTAAGCAGCTGACGAGAAGGCAAAGAAATAAATGATGGTGCCACTTTATTCTGCAAAAACTGTAGTTCTCATTTTATTAAAAATGCCCATTACTTTCTCCTTCAACGCACCCTGGCTGGCAGCTGTGGAATATCACGTTCAAACCAATAAACAAATTGCAATAAATACCTGTACAGAGCCAAAATATTTGGTTATTTAAGAAACAGTGGAAATATCCTCATGGTCGCGTTCATGATCTCCCTAACTCCTGTGCTATTAATATCCAGCTTCTACATGCTCCACTCATCAGTTTATATGGTTCGGATCGCTATGTTCCTACCTGCTTATGACCAGAAAATTACCTGTTGTTATTACAATACTTATTTGCACGCTTGACTGGACACTTGCTGCTGGGATGGCTCACTGGCAGTAAATGTCACCAGAAACATTATTATCTGTAAACTAACTAATGTTTTACAGGAAAATTTCGTCACTTTATGAATAACATTTAACCGCTGTGGCAAACTTGAATTATAACGCACATTTTAGTTAAATTTATTCAATGACGATGCTTAGTATTATATTATGTTCATTGCTCCTGTCTATGTAAAGTGAACTTATAGATATTATTCCATTATATTGTTCTATGTATGTCTTTTGTAACTGAATAGCTGTAAATGTGCTTACTTCATGTATACATTATTTATCACATTGATAATGCCTGTAAACTGGCGTCCCTCATGTAGAAACAGATTGTAATATATTATTAATGAATTTAATAATTTTAAAGGATTGACGATTAGGTAGAGCAGTCAGAAGTGTGTGGAAAAGAGGAATGGTCAGTGGCAAAGCTAAGATAA